GATTTTTGTAATTTCCTTTTCCCGTCATGAGATTTGAACCCAGGTCCCCGTTCATGTGTGATCGGTGCTCTACCACTAAGCCACATTCCCAGTCTTTTTCCCCTCTTCTAAAGCCTTTCCCCAAACGTACATCCAGTGCTAAGACCACACTTCTGTAATGAATGGGCTTTGACGTAGCTTAGACCCTAGCTTCTACACTCTTCACTGCTCATCCGACTTTTCTCTGTGTTGTCGGTTTGGGATATTTCATGGTTCCTTCTTGTTTCTCAGTCGACACCTGCTAATCATAAGCCAGTGCCGCCCAGAATGAGGGAGAGCTGAGGCCTGACGGCACCTGCAGCACCCGGAGGTGGAACTCAGATAACCCAGATCACTTTTCCAAAGCTAGTGTTTCAATAGTCAATAGGAGAAAAAAAATAGCTAATACCAGAGAGGGACATAGGAAACTGTGGCTTATTTTTCCTAATTGCTTTTTTTTTTTAAGTATTTTCAGTTGTTTTATAACAATATGTTCCGTAAAGAGTTGCCCATCCCTGTTTTATTGACAAAACACCCACCACCTCCAGGATTCGAGATAATGGACAGGGTCTCATTAGCATTTTTGTTTGTTGAGACAGGGTTTCCCTGGCTGTCCTGGAACTCATTCTGTAGACTAGGCTAGCCTCAAAGTCACAGAGACCCTCCTGCTTCTGCTTTCCTCAGTGCTGAGATTAAAGGCGAGTGCCGCCGCCACCTGATATTTCACTAGCTTTTTTGTGCTAGAGACCTGAATTCAGGGCCTCATGGCTTTATCCACTTTATCTCCCTAGCTGTGCTCGTTCATTCAACCCCTACAGTGTACCGTGCCCAGTTCTGTTGAATGAAGCAAAGCCCTGCTTGGGGGAAGGGGCTTTCAAATGAGACCTGAAGCAAACCCGGAAGCATGCTGTGGGACAGCTCACATGAGGGGGTGGGGGTGGTGTGGAAATGGGAATGGTGGTATGGAGATCGGTACCTGCTGCAGCAGAAGGCCGGGAAAGATCTCTGAAGAGCCAACAGTGGGGCAGAGATGGAAAGGAAGTGAGTGGCAACCAAGACAGATTTCAGAAAAACGAGGAAACAACTCAGGTAAAGGCCTGAAGCTGGAGTGCACCCCGTGTTCCCAGGAGAGCAAGGAAGCCCGCATGCCACCAAGAGGAAAGGGACAGAAGTGACAAAAAGACCAGGGACCCATGGACAGCCCAGCTCAAGTCTTACCCAGTAGACAGGTCTCTGCAGCGACTGGGACCTGGGCAGTCTATACTCCTGGCTTGTGTCCCATGTCCCTCATGAACTGAAGAAACGCACAGTTCTCTTCATCACAGTTTATAGTGATGGCTATAAAGAGAGTGAGCCCCGCATGGTGGCACTCACCTGTAAATCCAGCACTGGGGAAACAGAGGCAAAACCTGTTTTCTCCTGCTGACACAGTATCACACCATGGTGCTGTTGTGAAGATGGGTGTCGTATGTAAGTAAAATGTCCCTCAAGAATGCTACACAAATAGTAGTTAGTCAGAGCTGTTTTACAGGCAAAATTGTCAGGCAACGAGTATTAACTGAGCCTCTGCCCTGTGCTGGCAGATAAGACAGAAAGCAACTAATCTCCTGTTCTCAGATCCCAGTTTTTCAAAAAGATTGCTATCCTTTTGTCCCGTTAGAATTGGAAGTCATGATTCTCTGGGTGGAAATCACACTTCTGGTTGGGCAGGGTAGCAGTCTCTGGCAGGTTCTGGGAATGTGGTCTGGATGAAGGAATGAACAACAATGATTGTTTGGCTCTCCAAACTGATTTTGTTTGCTTCTTTGCTTGTGATTGGTTGATTGGTTTTGGGGACAGGGTCTCGGGTAGTCCAGGCTAGACTTGAACTATGTCAAGCTGGCTTTGAACTCCTGATCCTACCTCAAATATCTGAGTGCTTTTACAGGTTTATGCCATCACATCCCTCTACAAATAGAGCTGCCTTTTTCCGTTCCAAGCTGCTCCTCCCTGTTGAACAGATCCAGTAACAGGAGCTGAGACTTTTCTGTCAGCTTAGCAGCTGCACAGGAATCCACTAATATTTTAATTATTGTCTGCAGCTAGCAGTCAGCGCCCTGCTGGCCGCTCAGGTTGTACCGGGTTGAGTAGCAACCAGCTGACCTTGCTTTTTGGCCAGAGACACTGCAAGAGATGCATCTCTCCCCTCATCCCAGAACCAAAAGGAGGTGCCAAACTCAAGTCCCTGCCCCTTTCTCCCTGTGCATCTTTTCTGTCCAAATTGCTGGCTTCTCTGTGGCCAACTGGGGTCAGCTAGTTGCTGACTCCACCCCCAATACAAGCAAGTCTCAAGACTAGAGGCTGTCAGAGTGCCGCAGTAGGGAGCCCTAGGAACTCAGCATGCTGAAGTCCCAGAAAATGTCACCGACAAGTATTTTTGAATCCTGTGTGTTTCTCCACCAATGCAGTAAGTCAGAGCAGGCAGAATTAAAAGTCCAGGTTTAATGAGCAAAGCAGTCCTAGGTGAGCTTGGGGAGATGGAGGGGAAGAAATAAAGTGGAGCTCTAGGGATCAGAGTGGAACTTTAAGTACTCCGTAGGCATGGTCTTGAGCAGCTACAGGGGAGGAGTCACGGCTTGGTGGGTTTTGAGGGCATGGTTTGGAATGGGAGGGGTGGGACCAGAGTGGAGATTCCCAACAGACACCTGCTGTCATGGATGAAGAAGGCCTGGCTCACTTCTTGATGACTAGGCCTGTTTCAGCCTCAGGGACCACCTAATACCCCTGTTTTGAGACACACGTCAGCCACAAGGCTCATAGTTAAACAGTTCTGCCACAACAGGCAGTATATTTTGTTCCTGATATGCAAGACTAAAAGGAGAAGTCATTTTTAATAAGAACGTGAAACTGCACATTCCCATCTGGTAACACAAAGTGTAAAAAAAAAAAATGAAAAATGGAGATAAATCCTGCCCTTAAGGGAGGTCAACCTTTTCTACAGAGACCAAGGGATACTCCAGTCATATTGGGCTGGACAGATAGGAACTATATAACCAACAAGGCAGCACTGAGAAGGCAGGACAAATGCTGGCTTGCAAGCACTCATTACCACAGTCCCTTGCAGAATGGGTGCCAGCACTACCCTGTTACACAGGGAACTGAGACCGGCAGAGAATGACTTGGTACTTTGGGGATCTCTATTGCGAGGCTGGCTCTCTCTCTCTCTCTCTCTCTCTCTCTCTCTCTCTCTCTCTGTCATTCCAATCTTACTCTTTGTTAGAAAATAATTTAGAAGCGGGGTGTAGTAGTGCACACCTTTAATCCCAGCACTCAGGAGTCAAAGGCAGGCGGATCTCTATGAGTCTGAGGTCAGCCTAGTATACGTAGTGAGTTCTAGGACAGCCAGGGCTCCAGAGCTACATAGTGAGACCCTGTCAGAAAAAAAAAAAAAAGACAAAGAAACAGTCTTAAGAAATTCAGCATCCTGTACCCTGTTGTGGGACTTTGATCCCTTTAGCCAATGGCTTTTGGAGGTTACGAATCCTAGGGTATGGTCTTGTCTGCAGGGGCAACAATTTATAAGCTTCGGAAGAGGTCTCTCCTAGGGCGTGGTCTTGTCTGCAGGGGCAACAATTTATAAGCTTAGGAAGAGGTCTCTCCTAGGGCGTGGTCTTGTCTGCAGGGGCAACAATTTATAAACTTCGGAAGAGGGTCTCTAACTCTCTTGCTCCACCTGGACCAGCCAAGAGATCAAAACCCCACAAGTCGGGCGGTGGTGGCTCACACCTTCAATCCCAGCACTCGGGAGGCAGAGGCAGCAGATCTCTGTGAGTTCTAGGCCAACCTGGTCTACAAGAGCTAGTTCCAAGACAGGCTCCAAAAACTACAGAGAAACCCTGTCTTGGGGGAAAAACAACAACAACAACAACCCCATAACAGTTCCCAGCAATGGCTATTATCCTTTCCTTTGCAGACCCTTGGGGAAGCTTAGCTGGTTTAGTGGGAGGGCCTCTCTTAGACTCAGGAAACACAGTTGGCTGCAGACCATTAGGGAGTGAGTTGACATTAGTCTCCAAGTGTGAGGCCCAAGGAAAGTTTGTTCTCTTTTGTTTAGGCAGCGCTGGGAACTGAACCCAGGACTTCAAGTACACAAAGATAATAGGCAAGCACTCCACCGACCGAGCTCTGTGTAGCCCAGGCTGGCCTCCAACTCATAATTCTCCTCACCATCTCAATACCAGGATTTGGCTTGTTTGAGAGGTTCTCACGTAGCCCAGGCTGGCCTCTCCAAGGACGTTGGACTCCAGATCCTCCCACCTCCACTTCCCAAGTACTGGGATTACAGACTTGCATCATCACACCCAGAACTCAGGTGGGCCTTTTAATATAAATTGTATCTTGATGAATTACTCTTGACAGCTCCCTCCCCTCGATATACATCCCAGACAACTCTGACATTCATGGGCTCTTAACATACAAACTGTGGTGTCTACATACTCACTATATTGCAGTGTCCTGCAACACGTGCCGCCTATGAGTGGGACTCTCAGTGGGGAGCCTCAAGCACCCAACCTCTGGGATTTCCATTCCCATAGTCCCACCCAACACCACGACTCCTCGGAGTTCTTGGAATTTTTAAGAGTTCTCTTTCTGTAAGAATACCAAGCACAGGAGACACAATAAAGCCAGCGAGAATCCAGATCTGAGTCTTTCTGAAGTCTGCAGAAAGGTACAGGGAGCTAGTGGCACAGAGCTCCTGAGGTTGCCTAGGGATATTCTCCTCACTCAGTTTCTTCTATGCAGTAACGGGGTACTGATGAGCCCTAAAGGGAGTCCTCGTAGGCTCTCCTCGGCATGACAAAGCGACTGTCTCGGGCTCCCAGGCGCCTTCTCTGCTTCCCGCCCCCGGGGCTCCCCCTCGCTCCGCCCCCACGCCCCGCTTCGTTCCGCAGGTCTCCAGTTCCCGCCCCTGCGCGTGGAGCCCCGCCCTCCCCAAGTCTCCGCACCCGGCGAGCCGGGGGCGGGGAGCGCGGAAGGCGGAGCCGAGCAGGGGAATCCTCTCCCGGTTCGCCACGGTCCCGCAGAGCCACCGGGCCGTCCAACTGCTCCTGCCCGGGGGGCGGCGGAACCTCGACGGGCCGAGTCTGCGGAGGTCCCCGTGGCCCGTGAGTCGGTGTCGCCCCTAGCACGCTGGCAGCGCCCCGCCTCGGCCCTCCAGGCCCCGCGATTCCCTCGCCGGACAGTCGCCCGCGCGCCATGCAGCCGCCGCCCGCCCCACGCGCGTAGGCGCCCGCCACAGGCCATGCTGCCCCTGCTCGCCGCGCTGCTGGCCGCCGCCTGCCCGCTGCCGCCGGCGCACGGCGGGGCCACGGGTGCGCCCGGCCTTTCCGGGACGCCCCCGAACGCCTCGGCCAACGCATCCTTCACCGGCGAACCCGCCGCCCCGCGCCTGCTGGCCTCGGCGGCACCCGCGCCCCCCGAGCGCGCGGGCCCAGAGGAGGCTCCGGCGGCGCCCTGCAACATCAGCGTGCAACGGCAGATGCTGAGCTCGCTGCTCGTGCGCTGGGGCCGCCCGCGGGGCTTGCAGTGCGACCTGCTGCTCTTCTCTACCAACGCGCACGGCCGCGCCTTCTTCGCCGCCGCCTTCCATCGTGTCGGGCCACCACTGCTCATCGAGCATCTGGGGCTGGCGGCCGGCGGCGCGCAGCAGGACCTGCGCTTGTGCGTGGGCTGCGGCTGGGTGCGTGGCCGCCTGCGGGCCCCAGCCGGGGCTCCCACAGCGCTGCCTGCCTACCCCGCGGCTGAACCCGGGCCGCTGTGGCTGCAGGGCGAGCCTCGTCACTTCTGCTGCCTGGACTTCAGCCTGGAGGAGCTGCAGGGCGAACCGGGCTGGCGGCTGAACCGCAAGCCCATCGAGTCGACGCTGGTGGCCTGCTTCATGACCCTGGTCATCGTGGTGTGGAGCGTGGCCGCCCTCATCTGGCCGGTGCCCATCATTGCCGGCTTCCTGCCCAACGGTATGGAGCAGCGCCGGACCACCGCCGGCGCCCCCGCGGCCGCTCCAGCCGCCGTACCGGCAGGGACCTCCACCGCCGCCGCCGCCGCTGCTGCTGCTGCAGCCGCCGCCGCCGCGGCCGTCACCTCGGGGGTAGCCCCCAAGTGACCCCCGCTGCCCTGCGTCCGCGCTGTGTCCGCGTTCACACGCGCCTTCCACGCGGGAGACGCGGCAGGTGCGCTTCGTGCTGTCCTTAATGTCCGTCCTTTTCCCGGGAGGGGACCGCGGAGAGGCCCCAAGGAGGTGGTAAAACGAGGTTTGTGCTGAGCTTCTGGTTCTGAAAAGCAGGGGCAAGCTGTCAGACTGAAGGGTGGGAGCCAAGCGTGGCTCGAGGACACAAGGAAAATGGGCTCTTCCCCCTGCGTTACCCCCTCCCAGCACCCACGTACCCTTTATTCATGGCAGAAAGTGACCTGAACCTGTGTATTTGTTTTATATATTTAATAACTGTTTTAAATGAAAGTTTTAGTAAAAAAAAATACAAAACAAAAAGATTCAACTGCTATCGCTGTAGTAACAGGAGCTCTTTGTATCTGAACATAGTTGTACTTGAAGCTTCTTTGTTTGTTTTCTTATTTATTTTAAAAAAAGGGTGGGGGGAGGGTGAGGGAAGGATTTGACACGGATTTATTGTTATTGCTTTAAAAAAAGAACTTTATGAATCTTTTCCAAGTCGATCTATTCAGTGACATGGCCTGGTGGGCGTTTCTTCTTGTATTAATGTGATTTTCTGGCTTTTAATACAGACATTTTCCTCCAGAAATGTGTATGCTTCCTTTATTCGCTTTTGGTAAAGGGCCCCAAGGTGCAAACGAAACACGAAGAAATTCCCAGAAAGAAGAGGCGCCATCTGTCTCCCTGGCTGGGACAGGTGAAATCACTTTCAGAATGGTTACAGTGGGAATTTCCTCTCGGCTCTCTGGCCCCCGAAACGCACACACAACCTTCCTAGGTCGCAGAGGCTCACGGCGCTTGGCATAGTTTGTTTTTACTTGGTGCTCCAGGAAAATCAGGAGTTCTGTGAGCCAAGTGTCTTTCACAGAACCTCCTCAGTGGGTGTGGTGTATACGCAGTATATAAGAGTGTGTGTGTGTGTGTGTGTGTGTGTGTGTGTGCGCGTGTGTGTGTGCGCGCGAGAGAGCACGCACGCTTGTGTGGGGAAGTCAATGACAAATGTCTTCCCCAGTCACTCTCCACTTATTTTTTTTATGCTGGTCTCTCACTGAACAGGAAGCTGGCAGACTGATCTAGACTGACTGGCTAGCAAATCCCTGGGATCCTCCTGTTTCCATCTTCCCCAGTACTCAGATTGCATGTATGCAACACTAAGTCCAGCTTTCCATAGGGATGCTGGGGCTCTGAACTGAGGTGCCTGAGTCTGGCCCCCCACTAAACCATCTTCCTAGCCCTGGAAATGGCCGGCTGTAAGATGTGCAGATTGCATTTTGATAGCTTAACTTAAGCAGATGGCATGCTAGTATCAGATCCTGAGATGTTTAGAGACTTGTGTTAAACTCTGGTGTTGACCAGTTGTCACACAGGGTTTGTTTCTTCACTCCTTGATTCTGTGGTAGTTTCAGATTCTTTGCATTTTCAGCAGAGCCAAGGTCCTTAAGCAACTTAATATCAAAGTAAATTTAAGAAGATTTTAAGACGGATGGGCTATCTCACACCTGTAATCCCATCACTTGGGAGGCTAACACAGTTGAAGGCTAACCTGGGTTACATAATGAGCCCCTGTCCAAAACAAAAAAATGCTTTCTCATATTCCATTTCATCGCTGCTTTTGAGGTACTGAATTTGTTCAGGAGCTATATATAGCTCTCAACATGTGGTACCTGGGCCAACAATACCAGCATCAACTGGATACGGGCCCACTTAAGGCCTCAGAAGCAGGAATCTAGTAAGTTGAAGCCCTAAGATTCCAAGCGTACATCAAGTCTGTGATGTGCTGTGTGCTTGCAGAAGGGAATCTTCATTTGCATGACATCTCTGTCCTCTTGAGATCTTTATCAATTGAGTGAGATGCTTTCTTCTTAGAAATCTGAGAGGCTCATCAGAGCCTTATGGCTTCACTGCCCCTCTGGCTCCCTGAGGTCTGGGAATGTCTCTAGCAGAAGTCAGGCCCTGGGGTAGAGGGGGATCTTCCTGTCTCCTGGTCTGGACAATGGAGATGACTGGTGGCCACTGTAATACGTATCCGCTCAGGTCACTGGGAATCTTTACATATCACACAGCCAGGTAGGTTGGGAACGTCCCTCCTTCCCAGGATCTGGTAACTAGCAGAGAACAGCGATGACTACTCTTCTTGGTCAGTCTTGACATCGCAGGACTTGTAATCCATGGGACAGAGATGGAAAGGAAGCAGGAGGCAACCAAGACAGATTTCAGGAAAACAGAGCAAACAGCCTGGGGTAAAGGCCTGAAGCTAGAGTGCGGGCAAGGAAGCCCGCGTGCCGGCCACAGGACAGGGACAGAGGTGACAAATCGGTGGCCAGGGACCCATGGACAGCCTATAGGCCAGGCCAAGTTCTTAACCAGCACACACACACAAACACACACAGTCTAAAAATTAACATCTGGGGTTGGAGAAACAGCTCACCAGTGAAAGGACCCAGGCTCAGTTCCCAGTACCCGTATGACAGCTCACAACCCTCAAACTCCAGTTCCAGGGGTTCTGACTGCAGGCACCAGGCATGCCCATCGTGTGTTGACATCTATGAAGCCAAAATACTCATTCACTATCAAATATAAATCTAAAATGAGAAAGAATGGAGAACTGCTAGTGGAGGAGAGAGAGAGAGAGAGAGAGAGAGAGAGAGAGAGAGAGAGAGAGAGAATTGACGGTCAAGGCAGTTCTAGAGAAAGAGGACAGAGCCTGCAAGCCCCTCTGTGTTTTGAGTAGAATCACCCACCGAGTAGAGGCATCAGGTCTTGACAAATTTAGCATGGGTTCTCCTTCCAGTGGGATGTTTCTGTAGCTCCCAGACAGGAAAGGAAGTAACAGCACTGTGGCCTATGGACATACGCACATGAAGCTTTCCAGTCTCCTGGGGACAGCTTGGGTGGCCAGTGATATAGTTAGGTCCTCAGGATAAACCACTGCTGTGTCTAGAGGCCGCTACATAGTTCTCTGTATTTACCAACAGAGCCATGCAGGCCCCAGTTGGCAGCACTGGTCTCTCCAGATGAAGACAGCTATCAGGCTCCAAGCTACTCTGCCTACTTCAGGAAACCCTACAATGAGTGACCAGCCCCAGGCTCTCTTGGGCTCGGATCCTCAAGACTGACTCCCCCACAGCATTTCCGTGGAGACTGCCTAGAAATGACTTCCACTCCTTCCCTTCCACAGGCCCTTCTCAAGGGCCTCCCTGAGAAGCCTCCTGCATGTGAGCTCTGTCTTCAGCCTGCTTCTAAAATCCAGCCTCAGCTAGCACTATGCTTATGACACGCAGGCCTCATCTACCCATGTCGTAATCGGGCATTCTTGGTTACTTCTCTCATGGCTGTGACCAACACTTGACAAGAAGCAACCTGAGATGGGGGGGGGGGGGGGGTCTGTTTTGAGATTCTGAGAGGTACAGGGACAAGGAAACGGAGGGTGGTGACAGATGCTAACGGCCCTGACCCCTCCAGGACTACAGAACTAGTAAACTTTAGCTAGACTCTGCATGGATGCCTAGTGGACCCTGTTCTGTCCCTGTCGTGACTCTCACTGCTGGATCCTCTGCTACCTCCACTCTGTTCTCTCCAGGGCTCTGGTCTTCAGATGGGTCTTTCCTAAGGGGTGGCCGCTTCTCCCGTCAACAGTTCTGGCATTTCCTTCCATCTATGGAGCAGAGCCTTCTGTCTCTGGATCGGAGCCTTCCATCGGTGGGGGGCAGCCTTCCGTCTGTGGGGGGCAGCCTTCCGTCTGTGGGGGGTAGCTTTCTGTGTGTGGAGGTAGCAGAGGAATTTTTGTGACGAGTACTACATAAAGATGTATTCTGACCAGGCAGTGATGGCACACACCTTTAATCCCAGAACTTGGGAGGGAGAGGCAGGTGGATCTGAGTTTGATGGCAACCTGCTCTGCATAGCAAGTTCCAGGGCTACCAGGGCTACATAGAGAAACCCTGTTTCAAAAAAAAAAAAAGAGTATTGTTTATTTTTTTAATCAAGGCCTCCATTAGTTATTTTCCTTACTGCTCTGAGGAAAATACCTGACAGAAGTGACTTACAATCATATTTATTTTATCTCACAGCTTCAGGGAATTTCAGTCCATTAGTGGTAGGGAAAGTCATGGCCACCAGTTCTGTGGTGGCTGCTCATGCTGTATCAGGCAGGATGCAGATATGGAAGGGAGCCATAATTGGGCTAGATTTTCATAATTCCAGGGCCTATTTCCACCCGTCAGGTCCCACCTCCTAAAGGCACCGTAACTCCCACCAAACAGCGCCTCTGATTGGGGTCTAAGCATTCAAACAAACAAACCCAGGTAAGTGAGTGGGGCCAGGCATTTTACATTCAACCCAGACAGTCTCTCAAGTAACTCAGGCTGGCCTGGAATTCGTTCTAGCGCCCAGGCTAACCTAGAACTGCTCCGTCAGCCTTAGCCTCCAGAGCCGAAATTACAGGCATGCATGATCAAACACAGTTTTAAATGTTCTGCATCTGCCATGTAGGTCGGACATCAGCCTCACTAAGCGCTGAAACCTATGGAAAGTTGAAGACCCAGAGGAAATGGAGGGGAGAGAATGAACATCTTTCACACCCTTCATGTTTCTTTGTCGGTCACATCGAGCCCAGAGTGGTTCCCCCTCCTCCTGCCAGACACTTGCTCTGTGAGCTTTCAGATGAGGCTATAGTGATAAATCATTTGTATTTTAATAAATAAAGCTTGCTTGAAGATCAGAGAGTAAAACATCCACGCTGGTCAGCCATATAGACCAGACAATGGTGGCACACACCTCTAAACCCAGTAGCCACACTAGTTAGCCATAGAAGCCAGGCAGTGGTGGTGCACGCCTTTAATCCCAGCCCTAGAGAGGAATATAAAAAGGGAGGAGACAGCTCTCAGACACAATCTCAGTCTGAGGCTTCGAGGAGGCAGGATCGCCATTTCAGTCTGAGGTAGAGGTAAGAGCCAGTGGCTGCTTTGCGTTTCTGATCTTCAGATTGAACCCCAATATCTGTCTCTAGATTTTATTATTCATGCTACATGAGGCCGATAAGGAATAGAACACAACTCTAGAGAATGAACGGTGTGATTCATCCCCTTAAGCAATAACCACAGAAAAGCTTGTATTGTCTGAGTTTATCTGATTGCCGTGGGTATGAAAATGAATTCTAAGATACAATACACAAGAGGGACATTGCATCCAAAGTCCTGCCTCTGCTCCTTCGGGCTGGGTAAAAGCTGTGGTCCTGAGACCCAGCAGTTGGGGTGGGGGCTACAGACGAGACACTCAGAAGCTCTCCTACAATGGGGGCAGATTCAAGCCAGACTTGGGGATTACCAAAGATGGAGCCCATGATGGGTCCAAGCTATTCACCACAATCCAAAAGTCATCTGTAATGGACCCTTGCTTAGCTTCAGCCCCTTAGATGGAGTGTCCTATACACAGAACAGGACTGTCAGCAGAAAGGGGGTGAAGGAAAAAGGACCCTGCAGCCGTGGTGAGTCGGAGCTGCCTCTCAGCTACTGTGGATCCAGCCTGAGCGTGGATCGTGGCACATTGCATTGCAAATACAAAATTCGTATTCTCACCTTTTGTAT